GGGATGAGGAGCCACCGGGGTTTGTGGGAAGGGGAGGAGGAGCCCCCAGGGTTTGTGGGAAGAGGATGAGGAGCCACCGGGGTTTGTGGGAAGGGGAGGAGGAGCCCCCAGGGTTTGTGGGAAGAGGATGAGGAGCCACCGGGGTTTGTGGGAAGGGGAGGAGGAGCCACCAGGGTTTGTGGGAAGGGGATGAGGAACCACCAGGGTTTGTGGTTGGAAGGGGAGGAGGATCCACCAGGGGATGAGGAACCACCAGGGTTTGTGGTCGGAAGGGCATGAGGAGCCACCAGGGTTTGTGGTCGGAAGGCCAACACCCCCCCCAAGCCGTGGGGCCGAGCGGGATTCCCGGGATTCCCGGGGAGCCGCCGGTACCTGTGTATCCGATCTTCTCGAAGCTGAGCAGGCTGAAGATGCTGTTGTAGAGCTGCATCTCCTTTTTCCTCGTTTGGTCCATCTCGTCCAGGATCTCCATGAGCTCGTTGCCGGTTTTGGTGGGGTGGGTGCACTCGGCCTCGTGCACCGTCAGCTCGTGGTAGGGGCCCTGCCAGGGGCACCCGATCCGCTTGTACTTGCACTGGGTCACCCTGGGAGACACGGAAAACACCCGGGAAAACCGTCAGGGCAGGGGCGGGGCGGGAACGGAACGACGGGGATCCGGCCGGGCCGGCGGCGGGAAGGGCCGAGGGATCCCAAAGAGAGGGCGGGAAAGATGGGAGAGGCGTGGGAAGCCATCGGTGGCACAGCAAGGCTTAGGAATGTGGGAGAGACGTGGAAAACCACCAGTGGCACAACTGGATCCAGGAGCAAGGCTGGATAAGGTGGGAGAGCTGTGGAAAACCATCAGAAGCAGCTGGATACAGAAGGAAGACTGGAAAGTCTGGATAAGACATGGAAAACCACCAGTGGCACAGCAAGGCTTGGGAATGTGGGAGAGACGTGGAAAACCATCATGTCTTGGCTTGGGAATTTGGGAGAGACATGGAAAACCGACAGTGGTGCAGCTGGATGCAGAAGCAAGACTGGAAAGTCTGGATAAGACATGGAAAACCATCAGTGGCACAGCAAGGCTTGGGAATCTGGAAGATATGGAAAATTATCATTGGTAGCCAGATACAGAAGCAAGACTGGGAAATCTGGGAGAGACATGGAAAACCATCATGTCTTGGCTTGGGAATGTGGGAGAGACATGGAAAACCATCAGTGGTGTAGTGGGATGCAAAACCAAGGCTTGGGAATGGGAGAGATGTGGAAAACCACCATCTGAAGCAGTTGGATACAGAAAGAAGATTGGGAAATGTGGGAGAGACATGGAAAACCATCAGTGGCACAGCAAGGCTTGGGAATGTGGGAGAGACATGGAAAACCATCGGTGGTGCAGCTGGATGTAAAAGCAAGGCTGGAAAGTCTGGATAAGGCATGGAAAACCATCGGTGGCACAGCAAGGCTTGGGAATGTGGGATAGACGTGGAAAACCACCAGTGGTGCAGTTGGATGCAAAAGTAAGGCTTGGGAATCTGGGAGAGACATGGAAAACCATCAGTGGTGCAGGTGGATCCAGAAGCAAGGCTTGGGAATCTGGGAGAGACGTGGAAAACCATCAGTGGCACAGCATGGCTTGGGAATGTGGGAGAGACGTGGAAAACCATCAGTGGCACAGCAAGGCTTGGGAATGTGGGAGAGACATGGAAAACCATCAGTGGTGCAGCTGGATCCAGAAGCAAGGCTGGATAAGGTGGGAGAGACATGGAAAACCATCAGAAGCAGTTGGATACAGAAGGAAGACTGGAAAGTCTGGATAAGACATGGAAAACCATCAGTGGCACAGCAAGGCTTGGGAACGTGGGAAAGATGGAAAACCATCAGTGGCGCAGTTGGAGGCAAAAGCAAGGCTTGGGAATCTGGGAGAGACATGGAAAACCATCATGTCTTGGCTTGGGAATCTGGGAGAGACATGGAAAACCATCATGTCTTGGCTTGGGAATGTGGGAGAGACATGGAAAACCATCAGTGGTGCAGGTGGGTGCAAAAGCAAGGCTGGAAAGTCTGGATAAGACATGGAAAACCACCAGTGGCACAGCAAGGCTTGGGAATGTGGAAGACATGGAAAATTATCATTGGTAGCCAGATCCAGAAGCAAGACTGGGAAATCTGGGAGAGACATGGAAAACCATCATGTCTTGGCTTGGGAATGTGGGAGAGACATGGAAAACCATCAGTGGTGCAGCTGGATGCAAAATCAAGGCTTGGGAATCTGGGAGAGACATGGAAAACCACCATCTGAAGCAGTTGGATACAGAAAGAAGACTGGGAAATCTGGGAGAGACATGGAAAACCATCAGTGGCACAGCAAGGCTTGGGAATGTGGGAGAGATGTGGAAAACCATCAGTGGTGCAGGTGGATGCAAAAGCAAGGCTTGGGAATCTGGGAGAGACATGGAGAACCATCAGTGGTGCAGTTGGATACAGAAGGAAGACTGGGAAATGTGGGAGAGACGTGGAAAACCATCAGTGGCACAGCAAGGCTTGGGAATGTGGAAGATATGGAAAATTATCATTGGTATCCAGATCCAGAAGCAAGACTGGGAAATGTGGGAGAGACATGGAAAACCATCATGTCTTGGCTTGGGAATGTGGGAGAGACATGGAAAACCATCATTGGTATCCAGATCCAGAAGCAAGACTGGGAAATCTGGGAGAGACATGGAAAACCATCATGTCTTGGCTTGGGAATGTGGGAGAGACATGGAAAACCGACAGTGGTGCAGTTGGATGCAAAAGCAAGGCTTGGGAATGGGAGAGACATGGAAAACCACCATCTGAAGCAGTTGGATACAGAAAGAAGATTGGGAAATGTGGGAGAGACATGGAAAACCATCAGTGGTGCAGGTGGGTGCAAAAGCAAGGCTTGGGAATCTGGGAGAGACATGGAAAACCATCAGTGGTATCCAGATCCAGAAGCAAGACTGGGAAATCTGGGAGAGACATGGAAAACCATCAGTGGTGCAGTTGGATGCAAAAGTAAGGCTTGGGAATCTGGGAGAGACATGGAAAACCATCAGTGGTATCCAGATCCAGAAGCAAGACTGGGAAATCTGGGAGAGACATGGAAAACCATCAGTGGCGCAGTTGGAGGCAAAAGTAAGGCTTGGGAATCTGGGAGAGACATGGAAAACCATCAGTGGCACAGCAAGGCTTGGGAATGTGGGAGAGATGTGGAAGACCATCGGTGGTAGCCAGATCCAGAAGCAAGACTGGGAAATCTGGGAGAGACGTGGAAAACCATCAGTGGTGCAGTTGGATGTAAAAGCAAGGCTTGGGAATCTGGGAGAGACGTGGAAAACCATCAGTGGTATCCAGATCCAGAAGCAAGACTGGGAAATGTGGGAGAGACATGGAAAAACATCAGTGGTGCAGCTGGATCCAGAAGCAAGGCTTGGGAATGTGGGAGAGACATGGAAAACCATCAATGGTAGAGCTGGATGCAAAAGCAAGGCTGGAAAGACTGGATAAGACATGGAAAACCACCAGTGGCACAGCAAGGCTTGGGAATCTGGGAGAGACATGGAAAACCATCAGTGGTATCCAGATCCAGAAGCAAGTCTGGGAAATCTGGGAGAGACGTGGAAAACCACCAGTGGCACAGCAAGGCTTGGGAATGTGGGAGAGACATGGAAAACCATCAGTGGCGCAGTTGGATGCAAAAGCAAGGCTTGGGAATGTGGGAGAGACATGGAAAACCATCAGTGGTGCGGTTGGATGCAAAAGCAAGGCTGGAAAGTCTGGATAAGACAGGGAAAACCATCAGTGGCACAGCAAGGCTTGGGAATGTGGGAGAGACGTGGAAAACCACCAGTGGTGCAGCTGGATGCAAAAGCAAGGCTTGGGAAATCTGGGAGAGACGTGGAAAACCATCAGTGGTGCAGCTGGATGCAAAAGCAAGGCTGGAAAGTCTGGATAAGACAGGGAAAACCATCAGTGGCACAGCAAGGCTTGGGAATGTGGAAGACATGGAAAATTATCATTGGTATCCAGATCCAGAAGCAAGACTGGGAAATGTGGGAGAAACATGGAAAACCATCATGTCTTGGCTTGGGAATGTGGGAGAGACATAGAAAACCATCAATGGCACAGTTGGATGCAAAAGCAAGGCTTGGGAATGGGAGAGACATGGAAAACCACCATCTGAAGCAGTTGGATACAGAAAGAAGATTGGGAAATCTGGGAGAGACATGGAAAACCATCNGGCTTGGGAATGGGAGAGACATGGAAAACCACCATCTGAAGCAGTTGGATACAGAAAGAAGATTGGGAAATCTGGGAGAGACATGGAAAACCATCAGTGGCACAGCAAGGCTTGGGAATGGGGGAGAGACATGGAAAACCATCAGTGGTGCAGGTGGATCCAGAAGGAAGATTGGGAAATCTGGGAGAGACATGGAAAACCACCAGTGGTATCCAGATCCAGAAGCAAGACTGGGAAATCTGGGAGAGACATGGAAAACCACCAGTGGCACAGCAAGGCTTGGGAATGTGGGAGAGACATGGAAAACCATCAGTGGTGCAGTTGGATGCAAAAGCAAGGCTTGGGAATGGGAGAGACATGGAAAACCACCATCTGAAGCAGTTGGATACAGAAAGAAGATTGGGAAATGTGGGAGAGACATGGAAAACCGACAGTGGTGCAGCTGGATGCAAAACCAAGGCTTGGGAATCTGGGAGAGACATGGAAAACCACCGGTGGTGCAGCTGGATGCAAAAGCAAGGCTGGAAAGTCTGGATAAGACATGGAAAACCATCAGTGGTACAGCAAGGCTTGGGAATGTGGAAGACATGGAAAATTATCATTGGTAGCCAGATCCAGAAGCAAGACCGGGAAATGTGGGAGAGACATGGAAAACCATCATGTCTTGGCTTGGGAATCTGGGAGAGACATGGAAAACCACAAGTGGTGCAGTTGGATGCAGAAGCAAGGCTGGAAAGTCTGGATAAGACATGGAAAACCATCAGTGGCACAGCAAGGCTTGGGAATCTGGGAGAGACATGGAAAACCATCAGTGGTGCAGCTGGGTGCAAAACCAAGGCTTGGGAATGGGAGAGACATGGAAAACCACCATCTGAAGCAGTTGGATACAGAAAGAAGACTGGGAAATGTGGGAGAGACATGGAAAACCATCAGTGGTGCAGGTGGATGCAAAAGCAAGGCTTGGGAATCTGGGAGAGACGTGGAAAACCATCAGTGGCACAGCAAGGCTTGGGAATCTGGGAGAGACATGGAAAACCATCAGTGGCAGAGCTGGATGTAAAAGCAAGGCTGGAAAGTCTGGATAAGACAGGGAAAACCGTCAGTGGCACAGCAAGGCTTGGGAATGTGGGAGAGACATGGAAAACCGACAGTGGCACAGCATGGTTTGGGAATCTGGGAGAGACATGGAAAACCATCAGTGGTGTAGTGGGATGCAAAACCAAGGCTTGGGAATGGGAGAGACGTGGAAAACCACCATCTGAAGCAGTTGGATACAGAAACAAGACTGGGAAATCTGGGAGAGACATGGAAAACCATCAGTGGTGCAGGTGGGTGCAAAAG